TAATCTACATGGAAGAAAATGGGAATCCTACCTGATCAGCTCAACCCATAACAAGACTGAGTCCTTTGCAAGGCAGCGGGTCTGAAAAAGACTTCAAATGAGCAGATCAGCAGGACATGAGTAGTTCTGGTCAGGTATTTTCTTTAACAGGTGTAACATGAAGAAGGGGACCAAGGCATTCTTCCTAGCTTTGAAACAGAATATAAAGCAGATCTGGCTCCTTGAGGGCTTCAGGTGCTGAGCTGTAGTGAGAAAGGGAATACCCCTGGGCTGCCCAGCAGGAGGTGGAAGGGCTGGAGAACAGGGTGATCTACACAGGTGCCTGGCAATGTGCCCAGACAGGAGCAATCACGTGTTCATGAACATGTGTGAGACATGCTCTGGAACTGCAGGAATATCTCGGGGGTGATTGGTAGTGGAGTGAAGTTCCACCCGAGTTGGAAGAAGCATGAACTAGGGAAATGTGGATTATGACTATTAATGGCTCCCACTGTGTAAGTGATGAGGACTGGGAAAAGCTGAGTTCTACTAGGAAAGTACAAAGTTTAGGTTTCTCCAGGGAATAGTTAGCAAGATAATAGCAGGATTGTCCTTGCAGAAGTCCAACCTGGACACCATTGATCAGCTGAAACTTTTTCTCTTGAATTCTCCCTTTTGCAGCGTGTTTATGAGCTGCAAATGTCCCTCTTTGCTCAGGCATAAGGCAGGAGTCCTTCCTAGATCCTCATCTTCACACACATCCATCTCATGCCGATTAAATCCCACATGCAAGCTCTACCACTAAGAAAAAAAAAAAAAAAACAGGAATAGGTGCAGAGGTGCCTGTCTGAGCAAAATTCAGAGATACATGAGGCATCAAGGCCGCCGTGCCAAGCTCACACAAAGAGAGACTCTGAGACAGAAGACAGAAAGACACTAGGTACGAACAGCTCTTTCATTTTCCACCTTATCATTTTCCATATTTTCTAAATTATCTACAGAAAAAGGCAAATGCTAGTTTTTCAAAACCAAATGTAAAAGATACGAGTAAGCACAGCTTTTCACAATGGACATGGATGAGGCTCGTCTGAGTTTTATGTGCTTTCCCTTCTGGTCACCCCTCGGGCGTTTGATCTTGATTATGTAATACACAGGAGTCACAGAGAACAACCACCTAGTATGATGGAGGGAGTTCCATCATGCAGATGATGTGAAAGATCTGTGTGGCTAAGCGCTGCCAAATTTGACCAATCTATGCTTCATGGCATCCCCCTCCGGGTCAAGGACCCTTCTGTGGAAGAAGACAGACATTTACATATTTTCCCACTCACCTCCACTGGATCTTGGCTCACCCAGTGAGACTGATTGACAATCCCCAAAGGCTGTTGGCCAACTATTTGCAAGAGGGGTCCATGGAGAGAGGCCTCCTCCACCTGTTACTCTTTTCTCTATCACTTCACATCCACAGGGGTCCCTAAGCTCCAAGAGAAGGGTCAAGTGCAAATCTGGTAAGCCAAGAAGACCTAGCAGTTGTCAACTTAATTAGCCTTCAGGAAAATCTATGGCTACATGAGCACAGTAAAGTTGCTATAGAGACAGGCAGAGGAGGTGCATTTAGAACACAGCCTCATCGCATCACCCGATAAAAATAAGACCCAGGCTTTTTAATAGCATGAATTACTTAAGTTTTATATTTAACAGGGGATGACACCAAGGCTCTCACTGCTTTTCAGAACATTTGAAGAATCTAGGCTGCCTGCTTCGGCATATGTTAGCAGCCATCACAACATATGCTCTGGCGGATGGCAATGAAGAACTGGAAGCCCACATGTCTCTCCCACCCCCTGAGATGAGAGATGGTCTTTCTGACTTTGGGTTTGTCCTCTTTAATTGGGTGAGAGATTTTCAATGTGTTTGGGATAAATTTCTGGGAAATAGCTATGCTGTGTTCTGCACTGGGCCAGTTGCATCTATTATTGCTTGTCACTATAACAACCTTTGGAAATAATGATCTCATTTTGCAGATGACAAAATAATGAAGCTCAGAGAGGTCCAGAACTTTCCCAGGGTCACACAGCTAATGAATGGTGGGGTTGAGATTCATATCCAGGTATCCCCATTCCAAAGCCTTACTTTATGAGACATCAACCACAACCTCTGCACAGAGGAATCTAGGATGAGGTGAATCTCAGAAGCTTCACCATTTTTATTGGGATATGGCATGGACATTGCTATAGTTTAATCCCTCTCCTAAGGCAGTTCCAAAGTGGATGGGTACCAAGAAATTCCACAGAGATTCTGAGCTCTGCTGGTGAGCACCTCTCCAGTTATCCAAGGCAAGTGTTAATTTCAGAGCAACTTCTTACCATCCGAAGTGTTTCTGGACTGTCTCTTCCCTAAGTGAGGACCACCAGCATAATTAACACAAGATTCCATACAACATCGCTGAGAAAGTGTCCCCACTGCTCTTGCACCCATGAAAGCTTAACTATATGAAACCCAGCAGGAAATCCAAAGTGAAGTTCTTTTTGTTGACAACTTTCTCTTTGGATTATTCATGAACCTCTTACTTGGCAGAAAGATTTTTTTAAAAAAACAATTTTCCAGTGAAGGCCTACACGGAAGACTCAATCTGAGCCCATAAGGCATCATCTTTCCTTGTGGGAAATGGCAGTGCTGGTGGTGATGAGATTGGGTATGGGGCAATGGCCCATTGGGGAGAGCAAAGCGATGGGGAAGCCGGGGGCACCGTGGTGAGAGTAGGAATAAGGGGTGCCTATGGCCCTCTCCATTCAGTTTACCAGCTGAGGGTAATAATAGATGTCTGGGTTCCACAGGATCTGAGAATGCATGTCTAGGGCAACACTGAATTACATGGCTCGACAGAAATTTGATCCAAGCATCAAACTCAGTGAATGGGCAGAAGGGCAGAGAGAAGGCAGGTAGAAGCCATAGGCCGGCGGCTGGAACCCAGGGCACAGCAGAAGGTTTAGTGCCTCAGTAGAGTCCTTGGGCCATGGAACTTGCCCCAGCAGCTTTTCCAGGCTGCCTGCAGCCTGCAGCATGCGTGCAGAGTGTGGCTAAGGGAGCTGCCCGCTGGGACCAGCTCAGGAGGCTTAAATCCATCTGTATGTCACTGTCATCACCTCACGCACTCCTTCCAATCCCTGCACGATCAGTGCCAATGTCTCACCAACAGATTAAGACCTGGATTGAAGTATAAGAAACAGGATTTTAAACTCAATTCCCCAGGTGACCCTTGTTAACTTTTTCACCCTCAGAGATGTATTAATAGTCCCTTTTTATATTCTATAGCAATTTGTGGGGTAGGTTTTTTGGCAGCTTAACATTTTTTTTTTTTTACTTCAGTTAGACATGTAATCTATTTAAAAGTAATATGGGGAAAAGAAAAATGAGTGTAGGAATAACTTCCTGGCAGAAATATTTTTACCAGTTTCTGGGTGTAATATCAGCCCAGCAAAAGTTATCTGCAAATACAGACGTTCCCATGTACATCAAAGATACTCGAATTCTTTTTTTTTTTTTTCTTTTAACAAATGAATCATTTTATGCTACTGAAATAACTCTATGATGTGCTATTGGCATTTAAGGAGCTAAATAGACTCTTTGGGCCAGCCAACTTCTACTGCATGCATTAGACATGCACAGGCTTTAGGCTCAGGCAGACCCTAGGAGTTCTGGCTTTGCTACTTATTAGTTGTGGTAACTTGGGCAAGTCACTTAACCTTTCTAAGCTTTAGCTTCCTCATCTGTGAAATGGGAATAATATCAGTCACATGCCAATGATAAATCCCTGGATTATATAAATCCAAAGTGAAGTTCTTTTTGTTGACAACTTTCTCTTTGGATTATTCATGAACCTCTTACTTGGCAGAAAGATTTAAAAAAAAAAAAAAAAAAAAAACAATTTTCCAACGAAGGCCTCAGTAGAGTCCTTGGGCCATGGAACTTGCCCCAGCAGCTTTTCCAGGCTGCCTGCAGCCTGCAGCATGCGTGCAGAGTGTGGCTAAGGGAGCTGCCCGCTGGGACCAGCTCTGGATTATATAAATACAGGGATTTATCCTTGGCATGTGACTGATATTATTCCCATTTCACAGATGTGACAACAGCCAGTGGGCTATGTCAAAGGCCAGACACAACTTCCACCCCGGGTGAATGCTGCGACCAAGACAGTGAGCAGGCAAACCTTGCCCTCCCTCCCTCCTTCCAAGATCAAGATCTTTTGTTGTTTGTTTGTTTGTTTTGAGACAGAGTCTTGCTCTGTCGCCCAGCCTGGAGAGCAATGGCATGATCTCAGCTCACTGCAACCTCCACCTCCCGGGTTCAAGCTATTCTCATGTCTCAGCATCCTGAGTAGCTGGGATTACAGGCACCCGCCCCGACGCCCGGCTAATTTTTGTACTTTTAGTAGAGATGGGGTTTCACCATGTTGGCCAGGCTGGTCTTGAACTCCTGACCTCAGGTAATCTGCCTGCCTCAGCCTCCCAAAGTGCTGGGATTACAGGCGTGAGCCACGGCACCCGGCGCCTCCCTCCACAATCTTAGAGCTCCTTGGACAACCTCCACTCCCACGACCTGAGAATATTTGTGCCCTCCTGCTGAAAGGGTTTGGCCTTTCGGTGTTCCCCTCCACCATGAGCTGTTTCCATGAAAAGATCTCAAGGGTGACTTGCAGGCTATGGTCGTCACCACCACAAGCCTTCTCCCATCTCGCCTCTACCTATTGCCCTCTAAATAAGGAGCCAGCGCTGCCAGGCTGAGAACTTCTGCCCAGTATGGGTCCTGGGTGGCCTCTCGCCTCTCTCTTTCCCTGGGCCCCTAGCCAGCTTCCCACTACCCCAGAGATGCTCCCTGCTCACTTCATTCCTGCCTCATAGTTGGAATGGCAGTGGCTCCCAGAACCCCTGGGGAGTGTGGAGGCTGATGGGGGTCTGGGGAAGCAGCCAGGCCCAAGAGCAGGTTAATGTTACAGCCCTGGATAAGTGAGCTGGGTGGGTTGACGTCAGGGTGATGATGGGTGGAGGGGAGGGCCAGGCTGCTGAACCAACTATAAAGATAGGTAAAATCAAATATCATCAACACCAGACGGAGCGAGCGGGTGAGCTAGAGAGGGTGCCCGAGCCATGGTCTCTACCGGCCGCGGCTCAGCCTGGGTCCCTCTGCTCTCAACCCGAGTGCCCGATGCAGGCTTTGGTTTCATGTCAGCAGCCTTCATCTGCCTTCCAAAAATAAGCCCCTGCCGCCATGCGGGAGGGGGAAAAACAAGAAGGGGGGTATTTTTAGGGCCATTAATTCTGACCACGTGCCTGAGAGGCAAGGTGGATGGCCCTGGGACAGAGGCTGTTCATCACTATGTCCCAGGGAGCAGGACGTCTTCAGGGCACGCTGTGGGCTCTCGTCTTCCTAGGCATCCTAGTGGGCATGGTGGTATCCCTGCCTGCAGGTTCCCGTGCCAACAACACGCAGCTGGACTCAAGGGGCTGGGGCACCCTGCTGTCCAGGTCTCACACGGGGCTAGCTGGAGAGATCGCCAGGGTGAATTGGGAAAGTGGCTACCTGGTGGGGATCAAGCGGCAGCGGAGGCTCTACTGCAACGTGGGCATCGGCTTTCACCTCCAGGTGCCCCCCGACGGCCGGATCAGCGGGACCCACAAGGAGACCCCCTACAGTGAGTGCCAGCTGCAGCCAGTTGGGACGCTTGGGGGCTTGGGCTCATGCAGGACTAAAAGGTGAAGGTGCCTTGCTCTAGTGAACACGATGAACTATAAAGGGGGCAGAAATGCTGCTCACCACTTAGATGACTCTGCGGGACTCTGCCTGGGTGCAGGCTTGGTATACTGGGGTCCAAGCATCCTGCTGTTATTTGCTATCACCTTGGTTAGGTCCTCAGTGGCACTAACTATTGCAACAATACCGGCCCATCTGATGCCTTGTAAGACCACTGGGAACCATTCGTCTGGGAAGCCCCCCAAGGCAGGGGTAGGGAGAATGAGTTAGTATACCGGAATCAAATTAGACACAAGCTCATTTTTATTCAGCTTCCCTCTCGGAGAAGAAAAGGAAATTCAATTGCAAAATGTCCAACTGAAGCACATCCTTCTTTTTACTTCAGTGAGCTCCCTCTGTGTCCAGGTTCTTACCCTGCAAGTTGACAGGTTGCTGTATGGTTAGTCTCCTATCCAAGAAAGGATGGGAGCTGCAGGATCCGAGAAAGCCATCAGCCATGGTCTGGCGGCTGTGTTTTCAGGATTAGGTGGGTTGAGATTTGCTGAAACATGTAGAGTACACATTAAGAATAATGATAATCAGAATTTATTTTTTTACCCAAGTCAAGGACCTCAAGTGATTTTGTCATTGAAAGCCCAGATTCAAAACTCATCTTAAATAGATAACTAAGTGGTCATTGCAGTCCCTGACTCTGACATCGGAACTTTCCCTTGCAGAAGTGGACTTTTAGCAGCACAACGCAGCACCTGATGAGTCCAGCAGCCAGGGTCTCCTAGAGTTAGAGGGATCAAGGAAGGGGTGACAGAGAGTCTGACTTTCTAGGAGAAGGGGGATGGACTGAGATGCCCTTGTTGGCTCAAGTTCCCAGTCTGATTTGCACGAGCCTTAGGTAATGTAGCTCCCATTTCCTTGTCAGGCCTGCTGGAAATTTCCACTGTGGAGCGAGGCGTGGTGAGTCTCTTTGGAGTGAGAAGTGCCCTCTTCGTTGCCATGAACAGTGAAGGAAGATTGTACGCAACGGTGAGTTCACCAGGCCGGGGAAGTGCCAGGTTTACAAGGCTTGATGCTTACACAGCTGAAGAAAATAATACGAAATTCCGAGTAGAGAAGTGACTATTTATCTAAATGGGAAAGGAAAGGCTGAGAAAGGAGCCTGTGCAAGGGAAGGATGTTGCAGCTTTTGCTTCTTCAGCCTCACGGGTGACTGTCCTCTGCTCCGTGCTGCTTCTATTCCCACCTGCCAGACGGAGCCTGTGTGATTAAACAGAAACCACAGCTCAGGGAGCTCGTGGGCCAGAGGGAAACCTGTATTATGGCATCCAGGCCTGTGGGCAGGTGTGATTCCCTGCGTTGGCAAGGCCCTGAGAACAAGCCTGTCTCTCCACCTGGGTGTGCTGCTTGCCCTGCAGGCAGTCGCCCTGCAAGACACCCTGGCCTAGTGCACAGCAGGAGGAGTGGAATGGGAGGCTATTTTCATCCTCATCAGTGTGCTGAGATTCTGCGCCAGGGTTTTCAAGCCTCTTGTCTCCGATCACACAGGCTGGAGAAGCAGCCTCCCCATTATATACTTTAGTCAGTTACCAGGACCCACCCATTCCCATTCCCACCCCCAACCCCATAGGTCACCCCTGGGAGCGCTAATGCTGGCACTTAGGTTAATGCAACCAACTTCTAAGCACATTGACCAAAACCTCTGCTCTCACTGACCTACTTGTTCCTGCGGCCCTCGGCCCATCAGTTGGCTTATTCCAAAATACGGCTGGGCAAACATCCCTATGAAGCTGAAGAAATGGAGAGTTCCTTTGACAGAAATAAGCAAGCTAAAAAGGAAGACCTCAGAGCAGTCCTCAAAAAATATCAAAGTTATTTATGGGGAGGGTGTGGAGGGCAGATCTACTGCCCCTTGGAGGATAAACCAAGGATCAGGATGTAGAAAAATAGATCCAGAATTGGCACTGGATCCCAGTGTGGCCATCCCAACAGAGGAGGTCTATGAAATACAAGAACGGGTTCACCAGGTGGCCTCTGCCCCATAATCTTTTTTTTTTTTTTTTTGGAGATGGGGTTTTGTTCTTGTTACCCAGGCTAGAGTGCAATGGCGCGATCTTGGCTCACCGCAACCTCCGCCTCCTGGGGTCAGGCAATTCTCCTGCCTCAGCCTCCTGAGTAGCTGGGATTACAGGCACGCGCCACCATGCCCAGCTAATTTTTTGTATTTTTAGTAGAGATGGGGTTTCACCATGTTGACCAGGATGGTCTCGATCTCTTGACCTCGTGATCCACCCGCCTCGGCCTCCCAAAGTGCTGGGATTACAGGTGTAAGCCACCGCGCCTGGCCCATAATCTTTACTGCTAACATGTCTCATTCTGGGTTGCTTTGCATGGACATACGGCATGCATTAAAAACCATGGGTCTCCCACATGGTTCTGTGGACAGCTTGCATCTCTAATCACCTTGGTAACTTGTTAAAAGTATAGATTTCCAGGGACCTACCTAGGAGATTCTTATTCAACAGAGCTGGGATGTGAGCCTGGAAATCTGTTTATTTTTGTATTTTAAATTGGCCAGGTGTTTCCGAGGCACAGGCAGGCTTGGGGGCCAGCAGGCTACATGGCCTCTGGAGAGCAGGAGACCATCCAGCCCCCCTAAGTTTCATTGAACCTGAGAGCTGGAGGGCCGGGTGAGATGAGACAGAAGAGACATATCCAGCCGGGCGCGGTGGCTCAAGCCTGTAATCCCAGCACTTTGGGAGGCTGAGGCGGGTGGATCACGAGGTCGAGAGATCGAGACCATCCTGGTCAACATGGTGAAACCCCGTCTCTACTAAAGATACAAAAAATTAGCTGGGCATGGTGGCGTGTGCCTGTAATCCCAGCTACTCAGGAGGCTGAGGCAGGAGAATTGCCTGAGCCCAGGAGGCGGAGGTTGCGGTGAGCCGAGATCGCGCCATTGCACTCCAGCCTGAGTAACGAGAGCGAAACTCCGTCTCAAAAAGAAAAAAAAAAAAAAAAAAAAAAGACATATCCTTCTTACTGCTCCCTGGAAAAGTGATGGAGAGGACAGGAAGAGGCCTGGTACCAACCCAGCTGTTGGTGGAGCAGGTCCCCACTCTGCAGAGCAGGGCATCCCAAAGAACACCTTCTTACCCTCCTGCATAATGCCTGGAATCCCAGGGGATTGGAAGAGCTGGGAATTTAAGCTGTTGGCTATGGGACTTCAAAGGAAAAAGAGGCTGACTCCTAATGCCGGTGACCCCAGCCGCCCACTCCCACCCCAGCCCTTGCTCTGCAGCACATTATTGGCTGATGACTTTAAAGGGAGTTAAGCAAGTTGATGAACTGCTGGGCTCACTAAATGAGCAAAGTCCAGGAGAATGGGAACTTCTGGAGAAAAGACCCCACCCCCTTCGCCTTTGCCCTCCCACCCCTCCTACCTGCACCCTCAGTAGCATTTGGCCAAAGAGCGTCTTCTCTAGGGAGAGAGATTTTCCTCCCTGGACTTCAGGGCCAGCCGGGCCTGCACACAGACAGCAGGGCTGGACAGCTGTGCCCCAAGCCTGGGGCACCTGATGTTTTGTGTGGCTCAGGACCAGATGCTCCTGAACAACTTCTACCTCCTCCCTCCCCACACTTCAGAGGCTGTTCTCCCATTCTAAAAAAACAATTGCCAGCCGATCCCGGAGCCAGGAAGACTCCCGCTGAGTGATTATTTCATTCACACTTTTTCCCTTTAAGCCCCCTGAGCTGCCTCATCTCCCAGGCTCAGCTGCTACTGCCACTATATGGCATTTCTCATGGGTGGGGGAGGGAAACTGGGCTGGGGTTGAGGTGCTGGTGAGGAGAACAAGGCAACAACTCGTGGGCAGAGAATAAGGGCCAAGAAAACCCAGCTAGAAGTGGCTTCACACACGTCTGTCTCCTGGAAAGAGGGGTGTAGAGGCTCAGGGCAGTTTGCCCGCCCCCCGCCTTTTAGACAATATAAACAGCTGCCCTGCCCTGAGCACTAGCCTACTGTTTGTGCTGGACTGCATCAGGCTGCAAAGGGCTTTACCAGCATGATCTCGCAGCACCCCTAGGAGGTGCATTTGATCTTCATCCTCCCTTTGCAGCTGCGGACACTGGGTCTCCAGGGTCACAGGTCCAGCCACAGCTGTGTGGAGCCCTGTCTCAGGGCTCCGAGATCCAGCTTCCAGTTCCTGGCCGACCTACCCTCTAGCTACTCATCTTTCTTTGGGCAACGTCACTGAACTTCTCTGGGCCTGGACCTCTGCTCTCTCAGGTGTAGACTGAGGCAGAAATCAGTGAATTCTAACCCTCCTAATCCCCTTTAACACAAAGAAAACAAAACATCAAGGATCTCCACCTCAGAGTGGTTCTATTAGAATCCTTCAGTTGAGAAAAATACATACTAGCAAAGAGAGACTAGCAATTCAGTTATGCTCTCAAGCGATTTTAGTTTTACCAAGAATAACTGCATTTATGTCCTTTTCTTCAACAGTATGACAATGTGCAAGGGACAAAACTGATTTCCTCCGGAGACCTTTGATTATGATCTGGGCCATTACAATGGGGGAGAGGAAGACCAGTCTTTCCTTGACTCAGCTGCCACTCTAGCAGAGAGCAGCACTCCTGAGGGAATGAGGGAATGGGACCGACGCCCCGCATGTGAAAGTGCCAGGAAATGGGCCTGGAGGCACATGCCCTTATGAGAGGCCCATTGCCCTGCATACAAATCTCCACCTGCTACAAAGAGCTGTACGGGAGTGAGAAGAATGAAACACCTGATGAAAACACTTTCCATTGCTAAATTGACAGTGTGCTAGGAAAAAGGGTTAGAAAATGCAGGCGTCTTCAGAGCTGATGATATTTCAGCTAGACAGGGAAAGAAGCAGTCAGGGGCTATAGAAGAAAGTCTGAGGACAGAGCACTGGCTTATTTTTCCTTCTTTCCCACATCCTTCCACCCCATCCTTCTCCATCCAACATATACTCCCAGGAGGAACAGGGGCAAATGGCCTCAGCAGTCATAGGATGAAGATGTTTAAAGGCAGGATTCATCCTCATTGGTCCAGATGACTTAGCTCTAAAGGCAAGAGGGTGGCTGTCTTGTCCACCTCACACATTTAGGGGCATTTCTACCCCATGGATGTGCTTGCTTCTCTGAAAAGTGCCCTTCTCCATAGTGAATGCCAAATGCGCATAAATCTGAATACACTTACATGGAATTTAAAACAGTTTCATTCAGGGGCTTGAACTGGAAGGGCCCAGGAAATGTGACCCAGTGGAATGATATTCATTTGTTCAAGTAATCATACATGGTAGCTGCTTTTATGAACATGGCGTTCACTTGGCTCAAATGCTTTCCTCCCCAGAGCTGAGGAGCCAAGATTACTGAGCCATGAGAACTCAAAACTCAGGGCTCTGATGAAGATGAATTAAGGGGCTGGGTCTTGAGCATCACTCTGGGCAGCGGGAAAATCCCATCAGCCTGAAGCATCCGGCTGCATCAAAGCATTCCGGGAAAATGAGTTATCTCCCGTTAATGCCACAGGCCTCCTGGCCACCAGAACCCCACGGATCGGGGTGCTAAGGCTACAGGAGAGAGAACAGCAAGGGAAGGTTAGGGCTTCTAACACAAACTTCATCTATTAGCTGTCTTTTTTCACTTTAGTTTTGTACAGGATTCTGAGGAAGGCCAGGGATATAACACATGCTAGAGAAAAGGGCATATTGGAAAGAAAAAAAGTGGTAAACTTAAAAAAAAAAAAAAAAACTGTGTATGTTGAAGGGGAGTGGATTTGAATGATCCAAAATCTAATGACCAGAGAAAAGTGCAAGCTTAAACAATCATGTTTTAGGAGACCCAGACGTTTAGGAAAGGCTGGGTTCTCAAACGGACACATTCTAGGCAGCGGGAAGTGGGCAATGGCTTGAGAGTTTCTTGACCGAGTCACTCAGTTCCTCCCCCTTCCCCTTCCTCCGCCTCAAGATTTCATTTCCTCTCTAGAGCTTGCAAACAAC